AGAACACTTTATCGCCACCGTATTTGCCACGTGAAAAGCACGTGTACGTGACGTGAAATAGTTTTCTCATTTTTTGTTTTTATTATTATTGCGGAAACGATCTGAAGCGGTCGAAAACAATAAACAGTTACCGATAAGATTTAATTGTGTTTTCTTTGAGACAGAAAAATTGGTGCTTCGGCAAAAATTTTAAAGAGAAAACACCTGAATAAAAATTAAAAGAAAAATGAATATTAATAATCTGGGAAAGAAACGCATTAATCAATTAAAAGGTTGGGTACAAGTAAGAATAAACAAGGTTTTCGAGAATCGGAAGGAAGCGAAACTTAGGATGGAAATGTTTGAAAAAAATGAATACATAGAACAAGAGGAATAACTTGTATCATTAAATATATCACGAACGTCAAAGATTTCCTGGAACATAATAATAGTAGACGACGAACTATCTAGTACAGTCAAAGAAAGAGTTGGAGCTAATTTTATTCCAAAATGGAGCCAGATGAAAGAAGAGTTCGAACGTATGAAAGATGTTTTCAGTGAAAAAATACCATCGAAATCCGCTAAAGCATTCAGCATAGCATATGCAAATTTAAAAACTGCGATAAGAAATTTTGAAAAAGAATTCGAAAGCGAAATTGATTTCGAAGAAGAACAAACTAATAGTTCGAGCATTAAAACAGCAAACGAAAAGGAAAACCCAGTAGTAGGAAATGACGAAGAAATCGAACGCAATGATATGTCTACGACGGGTATAGAAAGTTTTATTGTGTTGACATCAACATCGAAAAGTGAAAATAAGAGGCATACACTGCAGAGAGAAAGTTGGGATATACCGCCACTTTATGCTAATGAGTCATGGTACGACGTAGAACCCGATGAACAATACAAACAAAAATATGCTAATTTGGGTAGATAAGACGAAGAGATAAGAAATCTGACCGAAAAACTTAACATGTTACAAAATAAATGTGAAGAGATGGAAACATTAGTTTTAAATAATACAGCAAGAAATTTTAAAAATTGGGGAGAATATTCAGAGAACTGTCAAATGAAAAAGAATCCGTTCGCAGAAGAAGAAAGTAGAAGTTTTGCAAAAACTCCCAATATCGAAATCCCTAAATTCGAAGGAAATATCAAACAGTTCAGAGAATTCAAAAACATATTCGGATTGATTATACATAATAATAACAAAATCAGTGAAATAGAAAAATTCTATCACCAAAAGCTTCTGTTAAAGGTTTACCCGCTGAATTAATAAGTCACCTTCCAATAAGTTCCAATAATTATTATCGAGCTCTGACAATCTTAAAAGAAGCATTCGACCAACCTTCCGAAGTAAAAATGGAATT